AACTAAAATTGAATAATCAGTTTACTATTTAATCATTAAAATTATATATTATATTTAAACCATACAGTTAGCCACATACCCAAATCCCAATTAACTTGTAAAAACTTAACTCAAAATTATAAGGTTAAGACTTGGCAAAAACTTTTACCAAAAAAACTGCATAGACTTTTTAATAAAAAAAAAGTAGCACAAAAATTGTAATCATAAATCATGATATCAATGAGGTAAGCAGTTCAAAAAAAAAAAAAAAAAAAAAAAAAAAGGTAGCACAAGAATAAAGTGAAAAGAAAAAGTAAGGCAAATAAATTACCAAAACTGTGACAAAAAATTTCCAAATTAATAGGGTGAAGAATATAACCTAAAAGTAGCACAAAACTTTGTTGTGTATGATGTTTGATTAAAAGCTACAACTTAAAATGCATTAGTCAAAGGAATTCCAAACCTATAGGCTAGGAGGTACTAATATATTGTTTGTCACTTAATTGTGCTTCTAACCTTTTCATGTTAGTCAAATAATTCATAAGAACTCACTATGGTGCTCCATAATAATCGGTTTGTATTCTATTAGGACAGAAAAGGTTTTGTAAACAGGATACATGTCGACTGTTCATCTATGAAATGACAACATAATTAATCAAAACCTATATATATATATATATATATATATATATATATATATACACACACACACACACACACAAACACTAACCGCCTACCCGTGTAAAGCGGTGGGCGACGAATAATTTAATCTCTTTAGAGTTAAAACCATTTTGCGTTCACTTTAAGAAATGAATATTATATGACATCTATTTTTCAAGAGCATTACCATACCATATTAAGGGGGTGTTTGGCTAAGCTTTTTTAAAACAGCTTATTAGGTTCCACATCACTATAAGTTAAAAAAGTGTTTGGATTAAAATAACTTATTCCGGTGGGGAACTTCTAATACGTTATTTTTTCATAAGTTACTATACACTTACTTATTAACTTATAAGCTAATAAACTAATAAGCAATAAGTTTTTTTTTACCAAACACCCCCTAAATGGTTATTACTTCCATTTATACATACCCAAACCATTGTACTGTTTATCGTCCCTTTTTTTTTTTTTTTTCGTTTTCCTTAATTCCTTTATTAATTTAATGTCCTACTAAGTAAAATGCTAAATTATATAAATAATAGTTTATAAAAATAAACCTTTAGAATATCAGATGTTATGATTCAAAAGTCGATAAATAGGCCTTTAGAATGCCAAAATACTCAGGTATCAACTTGTTCATTGTGATTTTAAACAAGTTTGGTCACAAATTAAAACATTTTCAACGATGGTATGTAATTCAAGGATTCATATTGATTTAGGTTCTCGAAACCTTAAAATATTGAACAAAATCTATACAGAACCTTATAATAAGGACAATAATCACCGTAATCAGGAAGTCTATATGATGAAACTTGATATTATAAGGACCAATGATGTAAAAGGTTTCATTTTTAGACTAAACAAGATGAAAAATATACAAACTACCTTAATCATGTCAAATCTTGTGTTTAACCGTTCTTTATTGCAAAAGATGCCAAAATATACAAACAAATGATAATACAATGCTCTAACTGGCTCTCTTGGTTGAGTTTTTTGAACCTGCAAAGCCAACACATTAAAGAAACATAGTAAAAACCTTATTAGGAACAAACCTGATATAATAAAGCCTTCACCCAATATATTTATAAGATAAAAATACAAAAAGTTAAAAATGATGAAATCAATTACAAGTAAGGATTAAAATAAAAACCTGTTAAGAAAGAGCCATCTGCAGGAGGGATATTTGAATCAACATGTATTTTCTAATGGTTTAAAATTTTGAATCATCCGAAATTCAAGGAAGGAGATAGAATTTGTTGACAAATATAAGGATTCAAAACACAAGTTAAAATTTAATATTATTTTATTGATGACTCCTTGTACTATTAGCTTAATGATTTGAACGTCTTAAAAAAATAATATTATTATATTCAATTTATTTTTAGAAATAGTAAGATTTCTTTTATAAGATAGTAAAGATATATATATATATATATATATATATATATATATATATATATATATATATATATATATATATATATATATATGTTTAGGTTCATTTGACACCATTCTAATTTTGAAAGACCGTGAGACCAAATCTAAAAATAATTTTAAAATGCAAAATAAATGAAAAAATCTAAAAATTCTTTTTTCAAATATTATCTTTTGAACTTGAATTAACTAAAAAAATAAAAAATAATAAAAAAAATCCCGTTTTTTTTATAATACGTGAAATATTCTAATAGAATATTACACTGACATTATCTAAAAAAATATTTTAAAATGCAAAATAAATGGAAAAATCTAAAAACTCTTTTTTTAAATATTATTTTCGGAACTTGAATTAACTAAAAAATAAAAAATAAAAAAATAATTTAAAAAAAATCCCGTTTTTTTTTAAATACGTGAAATATTCTAATAGGATATTACACTGTACATATAATCTAAAAAATATTTTTAAAATACAAAATAAATGGAAAAATCCAAAAAACCTTTGATTAAATATTATTTTCGGAACTTGAATTAAATAAAAGAAATTAAAAAAATAAAAAAATGCATCTCACAGTCTCACAAAATTAGGCCGTCTCACATGAACCTAACCCTATATATATATATATATATATATATATATATATATATATATATATATATATATATATATATATATATATATATAATATATATATATATATATATATATATATATAATATATCAAGAAAATGTTAGAAATTTGAACGGATAAAAAAAAGTTCGAAATTTCTATATTTGTAGTTCTTTTTTTTGATAAAAAATACGCTTTACAAATCAAAAAAAATGTTGGTTTTTTAGTTCTAAGGTTTAAAATGATCATTTGTTGAACCCAACCCTATATATATATATATATATATATATATTATATATATATATTATATATATATATATATATATATATATATATATATATATTCTTAAAGTAAGTACTCATAAGGACATCTTAAAAAAATTGAAGAAGAAAATACAAATCATAAAATCGAGCATAGTATTATATCCGGAAGAACAAAATTGTATCATTAAAATTGAAGCATGAATCATTTTTATGATCCATGATTTAATTTTAATGACAAAAAAAATTTCCAATTTTTTTCTCCCAAATATAGTATTATGTTCGATTTTATAATTTGTATTTTTTAGATTTTTTTTTTCAATTTTTTTAACGTGTTCTCACCGAAAAAAGAGTCATCACCGGAACCGAATATATATATATATATATATATATATATAATATATATATAATATATATATATATATAATATATATATTATATATATTATATAATGTGAGATCGGTTGAGAACTGACAGTTTACCTAAAAATAAAAGTGGAACATTAGATCAAAACTAATTTATTAAGGACATGATTGTAATCTTATCAATCTCATTTAATGTTTAACTTTTTGTGTTTTTGTGAATATTAATAGAAATGTTTAAAAATTTACATAATAAATCAAACTTTTGGATTTTTTTTTTTAAAAATAGTATTTTTCAATCTTTTTAAAAAGTGTATATTTTTTAATTTTTTGTAGAAAAAAATGAATTTTTGAAAAAAAGTCAATTTGAAATTTATGACTGATAGTATGTCTCTTTTCTGATACACTTAACTTTAAAGTATTTGTGCTAGAGTATACTGTTAAAAGAATTTATAAAACATTTAAAATTGTTTTAGAAATATTTAGAAATCATTTATTTGTAAACACAATATTCTTGTGTTAGATTTGTCCCCCCCCCCCCCCCCCCCTAAAATAGTGAAAATAGTAAAAAGTAGGGGGATAATGACTTCAGAGGGTAACATACTTTTGATTTTGATCACATTTGGTCATTGAACTTTTTTTCGTGCTCTATTAACCCTTTAACTTGTTGATTTGTGCAAATTTTCCCCTTCCGACTGGTTTTTGCCGGTTTCAATGAATTTATTGATCCTACGTGTCAGTTTTGATCCTAACTGGCATCTAGGGTTCTTGTTATTAAAGGAGGGGTGTTTGTTGTTCATTTATTGTGCTCTAATACCCCGTTGCCCTAATACCCGATGGCTTCCTCCTACAGCATCTCATCCTCCCTCAATCGATCAAGCAAGAAATCCACAGTGAATGATCCAAAAACTTGTGATTGTGGGTTCCCTGCACGTATTCTAACATCAACAACACCAAAGAATCCAGGGAGGCATTTCATGGTGTGCAATGAGGTAAGCAATTTCACTTAAATTTCCCCTCTTTTCTGATTCATTTATTCCAGATTTGAAATCTCACTTTGAAATTTTATTGTGGAAGGGTAAATGCAAATATTGGAAATGGTTGGATGTAGAACTTGTACAGATGCCTCTGATGGAAGTGGTGGAGGGAATGAAAGCTGAATTAGTATCATTGAAGACCGAAGTAGAGAAGGTGAAGGAAGACATGGAACAGATGAAGAAGGAAAAGTACTCTGATGCCATTGCAATGAAGGAGAAAATATATAAGTTTACCATTGGATTTCTTTTTCTGATCATCGTGTATATGATGAAATGAAGTCACATGATGTATTGAAAGATGTTGTTTGAATAGAATAGAGTTGTTATCTTAACTTCTTGTTGGAATGGAATGAAGTAACATTGATTGTAATGGAAAATTTAATTATAAAGAAGCATACATATTAACTGCATACATATTAACTTTGATTGGAATGGAATCACAAAGAATGGAATGAAGTAACTTTGACTGGAATGGAATCACCAAGAAATATTTTTGACTGGAATGGAATCATAAGGAAGCATACATATAACAATGAATACATATTTGATTTTGACTGGAATAGAATCACAAAGTAGCATGCATATAAAGAATTAGTTTTGACTGGAATGGAATCACAAAGTAGCATACATATAACAAATACATATAATAAAAAAAGTAAGTGAATGTGGTGGTTGGATTCATTGTAATACGCCATTAATATTCTACAGTTATATAAGTTTTTGTCTGCATACACAAAAGTAGTTTCTAGGTAACACAAAAGATTCCTGCATAGACAAAAGAAGGGCCACCATGTGCCCATACACCTACTTGATAGTACCATAGAAAAGCATAATAAAAAGACTACTACTTTGTCTTTACATCACAACTGCCTTACAAAAGATATTCCTACCCACCCACTATTATCCCCTAAATTAATCAATAACTGAAGGGTTATCTGCATTGCTCCCAACCCCAGGTATCTGCCTCCTTAATGCTTGTTTGATAATCCGTTCAGAATATTTCCTCCTTCCACTTCTACTAACTGGGACCCTTCTTCTTGGCATGGGGGCTGCAGGTGGTGGTGGAGGAGGTTGTTGGGCTGCAGGTGGTGGTGGAGGAGGTGGTGGTCCTTCATTGCCCCTGGATAAACTTGGGTCTGCTCCACTGCCCCTGGATGAACTTGGTACTGCAAACAAAAATTAAAATGTCAATTCTTTGTTCAAATGATGTAATTTTTTTAAAAATATTCACCTGATGTATTGCTTTGTTGGTTAGATGGACACTTTTTCTTGTTGTGACCTGGTTCCTTACAAATACCACACTTTATTATGCTACCCCTTCTTGAGACAGTTTGTCTACTTGATCCACTCAACTCTCGTTCAATTGCATCCCTCTTCCTTTTCACAGATGGCCTACCAGGTAATCTTCTTCTTTTGGGAGGCAAAGGCTTATGGTATGGAACATCTGGCCACATTTCACTACTATTGAGAGGATTAATGCTATATTTGTAGCATTTTAGGTAAGCCTCAGTAGTGTATGATTGGGACACATATGCCTCAGCATCATGATTTAAGTAAGATATTGCTGCCACTCCATGTAAGCATGGTATCCCTGTAAGTTGCCATATTCTACAGGCACACTTCTTTGCAATTAGATCCACTCCATATGCAACATCAGTGAATCTAACCTCATACTTTTGATAACCACAAGGAGTAACTCCCCACAATCTGTTTAAGCATATTAACATCAGTGAATCAATAACACATCCTCATAATTAACATAAGCATATTAAAGTAAAATAATTACCTCTGTTTAACCTTCAGATGTTCTATACGCTTCCTAATAGTTGGACATATAAGCAAATCCCATTCCATTCCTTCAACTCTTTGAGTGTATATCCTTTCCATCACAAATAACCTAATCTCCTCCAGCATAGTGATTATAGGTCTCCTTCTAGCATGCCTAATAGCAGAATTGAAACTCTCACTGACCCCATTCTCCACTGCATCACAGTCTCTTCCTTCTTGAAAGAATGCCTTAGACCAGGTAGTAGGATCTCTGTCTATAAGGTAATCATAAGCATGAGTATCAATAGATTTGATGTTCTCCATTACACCTCTGAACTTCTCCACAGTACTAGCCCTTACAGCCCTCCAAAATAACTTTATGTATTGTTGACCAGTAAACCTTTTATTAAAATTGGCCAGAATGTGTCTAGCACATTGTCTATGTTCAGCTTCTGGACATCTTTCCTTAACTGCTTGTAATAACCCCTACAAATCACAACATCATTATGAGTGAAAAAGCATAAAAATGAAGCATAAAAATGACCTAGTACTAACCTTGTGTCCATCAGAAAGAAGGGTAATGCCTGCACCAAGACCACCATTAATGTCATCCATAAGCAAATCTATGAACCACTTCCATGTTTCTTTATTCTCAACACATACCACAGCCCATGCTAAAGGGTAGATGTGGTTGTTTGCATCTCTCCCAACAGCTGAAATAACTTCTCCTCTAACTATACCCTTTAAAAAGCAACCATCAAGCCCAATTACTGGCCTGCACCCTTCTAACCAACCATCCCTTACAGCTTTGAAACACACATAAAACTTAGAAAACAAAGTTGTGGAATCTGGCATGATGTCTACATCCAATCTCACAGTAGACCCAGGATTTGACCTGATAATTTCCTCACCATATGACCACAATCTCCCATAATGTTCAATTAAACTTCCTTCAATCTCTTGTAATGCAAATTTCTTTGCATTTCTGCATTGCCCCACACTCACATTTATGTTGAATGTTGTTGACACTTTAGCTTTCATCTTCCTTGCACTCATTTTGGGTTCTCTATAATTTGACTCATAAAATGTTTCCCTATCCATCTATAAGTTACAATTGACCCAAACTTAAACACCCTACAACAATTATGTTCATTCACTAGAGATTTGATCTGAAAAGTCTTTTCTTTACCCATCCAGGAGGCCCATAGTCTGAAAGGGCAAGATGGTGACTTATTCTTTTTGCAACATTTCACTAACAATCTATCAGAGTCATTTTTTTCAAACCATAGATCATACCCATTAGCAACTGCATAATTGCTTAACATATGTTTAAGCTCAGTAGGGTTAGAAAATCGCATACCTATAATTGGTTTCATCTGATCCCATGGCTGTCTCTCATCATACACAGGGTACTGGGGTGGCACGTATTCATCATCTTGATCTTCACTCTCTATAGGTTCACAAAGGATGTTTAAAAATCTATCACGTGCAGTTTTGTTTGCTGGAAATGGATAGGTAGCATCATCTTCTTCATGATCAACAGAATATGAATCTTGAATAACTGAATCCTCATCTTCATCTAAGTCTTCGTTTTCACTTTCACTTTCCTCAGCCTCAATCCAGTCGAAGATAGGTTCATTATGGTGATCCACATATACATTCATTCTCTTGTCATTAGCATACGCCAAATCCAAAAATTCCTTGTAATCACCGTTGTTCACCAGTGTATGAATTCCAAGACCTAAAGACTCTTGTGGAAGGCAGAAATAGATGTCTTTGCTTCTCGAGTTGGTGAGCTTGTGAAGGAATTCCATGAATTGCTCATACCCAAACCCACTGAAGTCAACATCTCGCACTGATGCTCTGTGGGATCAAAGTAAACTAAGGGATTGGGTGCAAACTGACCATTGTAGTGGAAATCCACTACAATGAAGTTCTGATCAGTAGGATTTGGAGATGATGCCATAGAACGGTTGAAGGAGATGAATGATCGATGGAGAATTTTGTGACCTAGTCGAGTTTAAGGACCAAATGAGACTTCGGGGTGTGGTTTAATGAGACGGAGACGAAAAATCGGGCCCTACATGCCACCTCTTTCGCCACGTAAGATAAAAAAATACACGTAGGATCAATAAACCGTTTGAAACCGGCTAAACCCGGTTGGAAGGGGAAAATTTGCACAAATCAACAAGTTAAAGGGTTAATAGAGCACGAAAAAAAGTTCAGTGACCAAATGTGATCAAAATCAAAAGTATGTTACCCTCTGAAGTCATTAGGGTATGAACTCACTTGATAGGTGAGATAAGGTCATTTATAGTGAGTAAAAGAGAAGGTTTTTTAGTGAGCTTTTGCGTACCACTTTATCTTTACGTTCCCCTCGCTTTATAGTTGGAGATGCCTAGATATCCGTTGGTCCATAGTACATGATGGGACAATGAGAAGGTGTTATCAATCTGTCATTTGTACCAAAGGGACCAAGGCCTAAACCCCCGTCTGCCAAGTCGGTTCGATCATGGGTTTATTAGTCTGACAAAACCTAGATATTGTCCATGTTGGTTCTTCTCCCTAACCCGACTTGTTATTGGGAGATATGCCATTAGGAGGTGATCATTTTTTATATTTTGTGGATGCTTCGACTATATATATCATAATGATATCAGGTCTGGGAAAAAAATTAAGACAAATATGATAGTTGGGCATATTGTTGATTCTTCGTTCGAGTGATTTGTATATAGACATTATGTTTACAATCAAATAGATTGATTGAATGCAAAATCGATTGAATATTATCTCGATGTAAATGTTCTTTTCTCTAACGTCTCACTACCTTTTTATTATAAATATTTTTGTTGTTAAAAAAATGGGATCATTGGTATATATTTTTTTCATTCTATATGGGATCAATCTAAATGGCAAATTGCTTACGAAATCTGATTTTATAAGAACTTTTTTGTGAATAAATGAAATTTCATGAATTTTTTATTTACATTAGATAATAATATTTTCAGATAAATTATATAAAAGTTGATCATCGGTGGATTATCCATCATATTTGTAATTAGTTTCCATCATATTTGTAATTAGTTTCTATTAAAATGAAATTATTATTTTCTGATTATAATGCCTAAATAATGATTGATGTGGGAACAATTTAAAAGAAATTTGGTAGCTATGAATCACTCGGATTCTTGTTGCGGTTGAAGTGTTTTTCTAGGTGTCAGGGGCTACCAATGGGAAGTAGTCTTTAAATTGGTAATTTTTTATATATACATTTGTGATTCTATTACCTTTTATACAAGAAATGATCACACTGAATGTTTTCTTTAATAAAACATATATATTATTTCTATCTAGGGTTATCACTAATAAAACTATTGGAATAAAAGCAAGCTCATGGGGATTGAAGATGCTACATGAGGTAGATAAGATATGTAAGTATTTGTTGAGCTTGACAACCAAGAAAGTTTTGATATTTAATAAGCATAGACGAAGAAGGAATATATGCCTTCCTTTGTAGAATATATATATATATATATATATATATATATATATATATATATACCCTTAAGGGTATATAAGCTTAGGTAACCAAACTCACCATAATACACCGTTTTGTTTGATATATTTATTATAATGTTTTTCAACTTCAATCCTTAACTTGATATACTTTCAAGATTTTCAAAATTTCATTATTATATTTCTCTTACATCACATCTTTTTGATGAACATCAATTAGACTATATATATTATAGTTGAAAATGAAAATTATGTAAGAGGAAAATAAATGTGAAATTTATAAAAATCTTTGAATGAAATCAAGTTAGAAGTTTAATTATAAGAACATTAGACAATTACAATGTATATATATGATAGAAAACGACGTAGTATGGTGAGTTTGGGTACCTAAGCTTATATACCTTTAAGGGTATATATTCACTTTTCCATATATATATATATATATATATATATATATATATATATATATATATATATATATATATATATATATATATATATATATATATATATATCAGTCTTATTATTTTGGGAATTTTTTTAATAGAGTTCTAAATGTTTTTTAATACAAAAGTCATAATTATTTAACATTTTGTCCAAATTAACGTAAAACTCATTTTTATATTTGGATAATAAATAACAGATTATGTGATTTTTTCAAAATAATAAGATTTTTCTGTAAAAAAAAATTAAGATATTTTGAAACTTTTCCTAAAAATATGGGATATATAGACAATGATTCAAATGTAAATAAAAAAATGTTAACAAGAATCATTTTTTAAAATGTTTCTATTAAAAGCATTTAGGATAAATCCAACATTTATATTGTATTAAGCAAAACTTTTCCGTTTACTTGTTTACAAACTAATTGCCACTTATCGTCGGATCACCATCAAACTAACATTAAATTCAGTGACATAACATTTTTCTGTGGTCATATTCACAACGTAGTAGATCAGATATTGTAACTCTCATTTCTTTGTTAATACTTTTTATTTTTCCAACAAAAATATACAAAATTTTAGTAAAAAATAGAATTTTGCCTTAAGAATTACAGTTTTTTTTTTCTTTCTAAATTGTAGATTTCTTTAAAAAAAATATATTGTATATAAGTGGTATTCACAATTTAATAAATATATTAATTCACTAATACATAGTTTAATATCTCATGCATACTTTTATTCATATTTAACATAAAATTTATATAAAATATATAACTTAATACAATCCATTTTTAGTTTAATTAGATGTGTATCCGTACAATTCGGCAAAAACAAATTGTTTTTTTTGGTGAATAGTTTCTTACGAGGAAAAAATTATTAGAATTTATTACTAGTTATTATGTAATAAAAAATTACCAGCTTTAAATAAAATATTTATGTTTATATCCTAAGTTTATATTGTTTGTATATACTTTTGTTGTAAATTAATTAATATTGATATTTAGTTTGAAAAAAATTAAATTAATTATATACATTAATTTAATATTTTAAAATTTTTATTTTGCTCCAAATTAAATTTCTTAGTTGCGTTCCTTAATTCAAGTCTTCAAACTTTTGTCAAGTATTAATGATTTATTTATGCATAACTAATTTGTACAAAAAGTTTTATAACTTATACCTCTTAAAATTCAAGATATAACTAATATGCTTTATAATATAGTATAAGATACATAAAATTCACAACATAACATAATACAATGCATTACATTAATATACATATTTAAAGAAGTCAAATCGAGACTTTACCACCACCACTACAACTAACTACCAACAACTAGATGTATCACCGTTGCAATCATCTTTCTTTCCAAATTAGACTTGTATATAAAATCTTAAATTACAAGGTTAAATATTATTCACAATTTAATAAACCAATTAATTAATTTTTTATGAGTTTGATGCAAAATCATTATAAAAACTAATACACTTTTATATATTTATAAAATATATTAAGCAAGTATTTGACCCGATTGAGCACGGTCCTTTTGAGTTGCCTTCACCATAGCAACTTGATAGGATGATTTACAATGAGAGTTGAAATATTATAAGGAATAATATTATTATTTGATTAATATAAGTCATAAATTAATTAGGAATTAATTTGGTGACTTAAAGAGATTAATTAAGTAGAAGGACTTAAACTGTCAAATGTGTGATAATTATACTTTAGGCTGTAATCCCTTATGGATAATATGGTGGACGATTTTAGGGCTAAAGGATAATCCTAAAATCCGTCCAAAGGGTTATCATAAAGGGATTAGGATTGCTTTGGGCTTAAATTATCCAATTAGGGTTTAAGGGTGAAACCCTAGGAGCCTTACAAGTATAAATAGACCCTTGGGGTCATGGAAATCGGCACCTCTTGTTCCTAGTGAAACCCTGGCCAATTTCTAATTCCTTTCTCTCTCTCTCTCTCTCTCTCTCTCTCTCTCTCTTAAATCATCATCTTGCTAGTTGGTGTTTGTAAGCCATTAGAGGAGTGGCAATTGTGACTCTAAAGTTCCAAGAACAAGAAGATCAAACAAGTGATTCAAGGTAAACTTATAACTCTGATTTATCCTTGTCATTATGATAGAATAACCATTATAAGTCTTGGATTCATGCATGTTCAATTAGAGAAACCTAGATCCAAGCATTAGGGTTTTGTATGTGCACATAGGAATGTTCATATGGCTAAAACCCATCAGTGGTATCAGAGCCTAGATTGGTTTCTATTGAATTGATGCATTGGTTACTTGTTTGATGCTTGCAAAATTCGATTTTTGTGTTCCTGCCTGATGAACTCGGCGAGTCCCATAGTGGACTCGGCGAGTAGGCCTCAACTCGGCGAGTCCATTGTGGTACTCGGCGAGTTCGAGCGTCAGAAAGAGCTAATTTCGGGATTTCTTGCTGTTTATCCCTTTGAAACTTACCTTAATCATATTAGGTCAATATAAATCTGATTTTTTGATATATTTGAGTATATCCTTGACCTAATTGAAGATATTTATCAATTAATTAAATATTAGTTTCCTTATGTGATAATTGACTAATTATTTTAATTAAATTGGTAAATTGTTTTGCAAGAAATAATTAAATAAATCAAATATGGATAATTATGTGATTAAATGTTAATTTAAATTATTTGTTGTTTGACCCTCTATGATTTGAAAAGTTTAAAACCTACCCTCAAGTTTTGAAATTTATGTTTTGTGATTAAAAGTTTAATTTGGACAATTTAAATTTCAAACCCTAGAATTTTACAAGTTTAAAATTCAACCCTATACTAATATACTATTACAAGATTTATATATATATATATATATATATGTGTGTGTGTGTGTGTGTGTGTATGTGTGTGTGTAATTAAAATGCTAGTCTTACCGTTAGTAGGCCTCATTCACGAAGTCGGTCTATAAGGTGGGTATAAGGTTGCTGCCTATAAAATGGCACTTAATGGGTGTACACTCACATCCACCGCTTGTTTGATCGGTGGAGGGTCGTTAGCCGAACGGGTAGGATATGGCAACCTCATCTTCTCATTAAAAGTATAATAATAAATACAAAGTAACTACATGTTTTTCAAAATTCCCAATCCTAGTTACTTTAGGAAAAGTGAATTGATGCAATCCCATGAAATTACACTTTGCACCCTTGCTAAGAAGTTAGTGGAGTGTGTGTGGTTTACCGGCACACTAATTGGTTCTAAGCAAAGGTGGCAAAGGGTGATTCATTGTTTATCATAGTTCGATGGAGCGTGTGTGGTTTACCGGCACATCAAATAGGTGATCGTTACAATGAAGGCACCATGTGAATTTGCATGGTAATTCACACCCACTTTGTG